AATAAAATGAAATATTAAAATCATGATGTATCTCGCTGCATTGTGCGAGTACGCTTCTAGTATTTTTATTAAATATGACTTTTTCAACATTAACATCATTTTATATTGTTATATAACAATACCTCAAACCACAAGGGTGGTGCTTGATTGGTTTGAGCTTAACTCCAAAGTTGAAAAGTACCAGGTTCAAATCTAAGGAGAAATAAAAATCCCCTTGTAGCCATGGAGGTTCAAATGCGATGACTCTAGGCTATATGCAAAACATGTGGTCGCTCTGGGATTAGTCGACTCGCATAGCGGGTTGGATATCCAGGTTAATAAAAAAAAAAACCTCTTATATATATTATTATAAAAATATATTTTTTGTGTAAATAATGAATAATACAATATAAACTATTTATATTCGAAATTTTGATAAAAAAAATGATGAGTTATTATATGATTTTTTTTTAAAAGTTCATGAAAAACTGATCAATTATTACTGGGATATTCAAAAACTTAAATAAGAATTGATTGGTTATTCTTGAAGTTTTAAAGACGAAAATGATGATGTCTTACTTTATGAACTTCTAAAGTTGCAGAATGATCGATGATATATTTTATCAGAATATAGATGAAAATAAAAAATACGGGTTACTGTTTAAGTTGTTACAGTTTTTATTTGATTTATTTATGGCAAATCACACGACTACATACACATGGTTCAAATTTATAAAGTTGCAAAAAAATGATAGATTGTTTTTTATTAATAACAAGACATTTTTGTTTTATATAATATAAATAAAACAATAAAAAACGAAAAAGCAAAGATAGGATAGATAATTTAATGTTATTTTTCAGATCGTTACGACTTTTTAGTTACATTCTTATGGATAAGAGGCCCGTTTTTTTAAAAGAGTACGAGGGGCCGTGGGAGTGGGGTTCACGTTTGTAAAACAAATAGTGCCTCGACACCGAGTTCTCTCAAATCTCGGCTTCTCAGGCTCTGCTCCGATCAGTTCTCAAAACTCTCACTCTCCACTCAGGTTTTGTCCAAAAACCTAACTCAAATTTGAGATTTTGCTCTAAATTTGAGATAAATCATTAGTGTTAAATTATTTAGTTATAATGTCATATAATTGTATTTACATGATTTAAGTGCTGTTTACCAAATGTTTATCCGGATAAGCGCTCACCAAGTCATTTTACTTTACCGGATGAATATGACAAGGGTATATAATCTTACCCTGTAAGAGCGAATGCAAGAATCAAAAGTCTTACCCGATAAGTAAGGACGAGGGCTATTACCATGGTTAACGCTTACCAGGATAAGTTGTTGCATAGGAGACGTTTTAGTGAATAAAATCTTACAAAACGGGCATTATTATAGCCCAAGCCCGTCTATAGTATCAGTCCAGAATCAATCCCGGGGTATTATTATAGCCCAAGCCCGTCTATAGTATCAGTCTAGACTCCAGTGGCTTTGCTTCGACCTCGTCTTCCCCGATCCCTAGTTCCCTTCGAGGCTTCGCTTTGACCTTTCGTCCTTCCCTCCCGGCTCTCGCTCCCGTGCTTCGACCTTGGTATTTGGGTATGATTAAAACCCGACCGATTCTTACCAAAAGTATCACATCTGCCCTCATTTACACTGCTGCTGATTGAACATCTCAGGTACTTCAATTAAACCCTAACATTTGATTTTTGTTCTTGAATTGCTTTACTATTGTTAACCTCGAATTAAGCTTCGAGCATCCCAAGTTTCATATGTAAAGTTAACCGAAATCCTTTGATGAATCTTGATTCCTGATGCTAATGGTGGAGGTGAGAATGTCAATTGTCAAGTGATACGAACTGTATTTCCTTAATTCACTCGTATAACCACTGTATGGCATAAGATCCATGCTCATTTTATTGGGAATGGATGATGAACCGATGATCAATGCCTACATCCCATATTGATTTTCAGCAGAAACCAGGCCTTTATAATCTTTTAATTGTACCATATTTCTAAATCTTCATCCACTTAGGGGACGTTTACCAAATGCTTACCCCGGTAAGTGCTTACCAAATCACATTACATTAACGGATGAATATGGTAAGGACCAAGAATCTTACCTGGTAAGAACGAGACAAGGACCAAGAGTCTTACCCAGTAGGTGAGTGCAATGATTCTTACCACGGCAAGTGCTTACCGGGTAAATTGTTTCATACGATGTCGTTTTGATGGACTAAAATCTTACTCGATAAGTAAATGATAGTGTTAATTTGGCCGATAAGCACTTAACCGGGTAAGTGTTTGGTAAACGGCCCCTTAGTCAATTAAATATATCGAATGAATCTTCATCCACTTGGTAAATTAAATGTGTTGATTGACCCAATTAGCTTCTCCCTCAGGTTTTCAGTGGATGAGGATTAGTTTAGGATCAATAGGGACCATAAGTCATGTGGCCATAGTTAATACTGGACTGAAACACAAACTAACTCTACAGTAGTAAAGCAATTTAGGCATCAACACACACTAGAAAGAGAGTGGAGTAATTGACAATTTGATAGCGAGTCCAGTTGGTCACGGTTGGGCTTGCTTACAAACTCAGCCACCATAGATTGGTCTTGAAATCACCAAGTGTATCCTGTGGTTAACCTTGAAGAAGCTGATATCGTTACCCTTTAATGACCGGAGCGTCCAAGTCATGAAAATAGCCTCTTTGCTATAATGCAAGTGAAGCATGCACACAAGTCGTCCATAGTAAAGTCTGGGGATTGGTGCTTGGTGGTCATCAGTTTTTAGTAGTAATGTATTAGTTTAGAGTAGGTTATAAATTCTTAAGTCGTAAGTAGGTGGACAAACTTTTTTTTTTTCCTTAAACGGTAAGCTATGATAATGGCTTAGAGTAACACAAGAATCACCAGTTAACTAAAATAGGTAACAGACAAATTGAAATTTCTGAATCAAATAAGGCTTCATGTTAACATGAACTGTTACTGTTATATTTATGCCTCCTCGCCTTGTATGTGAGTTTGTATGTCTCTTTGTTGGATTGTCACAAATTGATTGGTCTGCTTCCATTTTCAAATTGGAGTTGCTCTTAATCTTCTTGTTAAAAGCAGTACCCGATGCTTGTAAAGCCTAGGTACAAAAAGCACTACCCCTATGCAAATTAAAAGTGATACATACGATATCTTACTACTTTCGTTTCAAATGAGTTATTTCTGGGATTAAGAATGGGCGAGAGTTACTCGTATTTAATGGAAGCTGTCTCTTTGCAAAAAAGCAAGGGAAGCTTGACTAGGTTCCAAACCCCTTAAAAAATTGGTGCCTTATTGAGTTCTTGGTTCATTGGAGCAGGGGCATCTTTTTGGCTCTCCGCCCAGGGCATTCAAAACCATTGGACCGGCCCTGCAGATACAAAACCTCACTAGAATAACTTATGAATGTTTTGTATCGCTTTTTATCTCTTATGGATCAATCACTCAAGTAGCAAGTCGTTATAATGAAAGTGAAAAAGGAAAGAAATAGAAAGCAAATAATTTTAAAATCTGCGTTGATCATCCAGAAATTAAGAGAACCTGTCACTTCCAGTTTCTGCTTATATGTAATGTTTGAGTTTGAAGGAATCAATTTGTTGAGCATAAATTTGCTGTGAATGGTATTCTGGGATTAAAAAGGTTGCATCTTTATGAGTAGTAGCAATCATCAAATATATGCTCAAGAAATTTATACCTTCAAACTCGATAACGATCATCAAAGAGCTTTAATTATGTTTGATTAGGTTTTTCAAAGCTTCATGAAACCATAATATGACATTTAGACCTGATGCATAATAATTTATGTAGTTAGGGGCCGTTTACCAAACACTTAACCGATAAGCGCTTACTGGTAAAATTCAACACCATCATTTACTTAGCCGGTAAGATTTTAGTTCACAAAAACAACATTTGTATGCAATAATTTACCTGGTAAGTGCTTACCGTGGTAAGAGTCATCGCCCTCACTTACCGGTTAAGACTCTTTTCTTTGTCTCGCTCTTACCGGGTAAGATTCTTGGTCCTTACCACATTCATCCGGTAAGGTAATGTGACTTAGTTTGAGTGGCATATGTATTAGTTGCCTGCCATTTTTTGAATCCCTCTTTTGAAAATCGGAGTTTAATGATTTGTCTTCCATTTGGAACTTGTATATGTATCGTAATCTGTTCATCGGGTTAACAGCTTGGTCTCAAGGGACAATTTGGCCCGACCTATTTAACCAACAACCCATTTGATCCGTTCCTAAAAATTGCCCGTTTGACCCTAACCCATTCTATGTAGCCCAATCTTACCCGACCCTCCTTTTTGTCACCTCTAATCATTGTATTTACCTTTTAGAAATGGATGAAGGTTTTTCTTCTCAAATTATATAATTAATTGAATTAGTTTGTTCTTGACTCTTTCTAGGGTTTCCAATTCAAACATGGGTAGTAGATTGGGAAGAAGAGTGGTTAACTTTGCTAATATTCCAATTAAGCTTCTCATGCCCACTTCTTTCTCCAACATCACGGAAATCGCCCTAAAAACCATCCCCTCTGCTTCCAAGGTACAAACATTACTGATTGGAATGCTTTTCTTCATACTTTTGTTGTATTTAGATCCAATTAATGGTTTTGGTGCCCACTTGCATCTGTTTTTAGATTGAAATCAAGAGGGTTTTGGAGTCGCTTTATGGATTTGAAGTGGACGAGGTTCGAACCCTAAACATGGACGGGAAGAAAAAGAAAAGAGGCGGACTTTTGATTGCAAAACCTGATTACAAAAAGGCTTATGTTACTTTAAGGAATCCTCTTTCGATATCCCCAGATTTGTACCCGATTCGTGTGATCGAAGAAGAACGAAAGAACATGAGCAAACAGTCCAAGTCCAGCATTGTCGAAGGTGATGAAACAAAGAAGATCCATTGGCTTGATGGTAGCGGGGTTAAGAAAGATACAGGTTATGGGGGAAGGGTTAGGCACGGAGCGGCAGACCGCCGTGGGGGCAGCAGCACCACAACCGCGACATCCAAGTTTCCGTGGACCAAGATGCGATCTGCTGCTAAGTAGATTCTTGTTGTCCTTAGCTTTTTTACTGACTAATATGCACTCTAGGTGTTTGATGAAATGGCTCTGGTGAAAATTTACCACTAGGCTGTATTTGTTTTGGGAATTTTAGTTGATTTTACCTTTGAATTTATATAAATGAGCTTACTTTTCATCAGTTCAGTAAGTTCATGGATTATTGATGTTTTCTTGTTAGCAATTTGCTATCTTTTGTGTACTCCAAACTTATTTTTGGGTTTTTTAATTCATTTTTATTTATATTATTGATCTCGATTATTCTGGACTTCGAGAATATAGGTATGGTTGTAGGTAAAAATGTAACACCCCAAACTTCCACATTGACAGATAACATGTACTTCATATAAAATAAATACAATTTACACCACAAAAAGGTCTTACTAGTATAAGAAACTTTGAGAATATTGGTATGATTGTTGGTAAAAATGGGCATTATGGACCGGTTAAAAGGACTGGTTGGGACTAGAATAGGATTGCTCGGGTTCAGTTGGGTTGGTTATAGGAAATTTCATGCAGACCGGTTATAAAATGGGTTAAGGATTGGTTTCTCAAACCGGTTATACATTATGGACAGGTTAAAAGGACTGGTTTGGTCAAGGGCTGGTTGGGACCGGAATATGATTGCTCGGGTTCAGTTGGGTTGGTTATGGGAAATTTCATGCCGACTGGTTCAGTTGGGTTGTTTATAGGGATCGATAAATTTTTCCCTTTATTACCGACAATCATTTCCATTTAATGAGATATTCATTCTCGGCTTTAGTGTGTGATCTGTTACGATTTTTCTAGATCTATAAGTTATGATTTTTGTCAAAATCATGACTAAGATTACGATTATCAAGTAAGTTTCATGATACCAGACATATTTGGGCCGAAATATTACTCAAGAAAAATGAGCTCTCACGTGATCTCAAGTTTCATCCAAGCAACTATTCATAGTTTCTCACTATACAAACCCGATATCCCCAACAAAATGTGTAGATTGTCAACATTTCATGCAAATAAATAAACGTTACTCAAAACTTTTACTAGAACTAGTTGTATACTAACGCATTGGAACACGATGTAAGGATGTAAAAATCGCATTACAAATCGATAATAGAAGATTAATACAAATCTTTATCTAATACGTTATGCGAGCCGACTAATCCCAGGACAACCACCTGCTTTGCGGGTAGCCTGGAGTCACCGCATTTGAACCTCCATGGCTACAAGGGGATTTTTATTCCTCATTTTATTTAAACATGGGACCTCCAGGCACTTTTGACCTTTGGAGCTCAGACTCAAACCAATCAGGCACCACCTTTGTGGTTGGAAATTTTAAATTTATGTTTGAATAAAAATAGAAGTTACAATAATCTGTAATCCCGCATGTTTGGGATTAATTATGTGCTATAGAACATGCAAAAAGATAGTCGTCAAGAACAAGGACATGCCCAAAACAGAATGTTGAGATTTTTATTGTTCCTTTAATACACACACACACACATATATATATATATATATATGGTTGGGTTCACGTGAGACCAGGGGGTTTTCGTGAAACCCGTAAGACCAATTTATGTTCATTAATCAACTTTATAAGTTAATGATCTAACTGTCTAAAGTTGCACGGTGACAATTTGTGATTATTGAATATTGAGAAGTCTCGTGACGTTTATGAATGTTAAGATCTGACGATTGTAGATCTAATCCAAGGGTTGAGAATTGGTCTTACGGGTCTCACGAAGAATCATCGGTCTCACATGATCCCAAGTCTATATATATATACATAATATAATGATGTTGATATTCATAATTGATTGATTTATTTGTAACATAATACCATTGAAACTGCTTTATTATTATGGTGTGTGTAATGAGAAATTATGTTTCTAATTTATCTTACAAACGTTGTCTTGTAACATAATTTTGTTAAAACGATACAAAAATGCAACTGAGTGGACACTAGATATACGCACCACAAATTTTGATATTTATAATAAGAGGGACGGTGAAAAACAACCAACCAACCCGTAAGTCTAGATGGTTAGCCAAAATTAGTCGACTACATGGGTATAGGTGTAGAGGGTCAGCCAAAATAGGCTAACCCCATTAGTTTCCATAAAGATCTTGCTTATATGCAGGAGAATGGGCCCCGACTCGTCGGAACCTGTCCACCTGCCTCGGTCGGGGACGAGGATTCCCCACCTAAATCGGGGATGGGGACGGAGATCCCCGTTTGTCTCAAACTGGGGACGGGGATAGTATCGTATTCCCCGTCTTGTCTCGTACCCATTATATATATATATATATATATATTAATTAATAAGTTTTAATTAATAAATTATATATATATATATATATTTGTACATATATATATGTATATTATTTATTTCAACTAAAGCGGTACTCCATAATTTCTTATTTCCTAACTAGGTTTATAATTTAAAATTGTTATTTTTTTGGATGAATATGTAATATTTTGGATGTTAAGTCAAAATTAGGGGTGTACGCGGGTTGGGTTGGGCGGTTTACAACAATTTTACAACCCAACCCAATTATGACGGTTTGAAAAAATCTCAACCCAACTCACTCAAAAGTGTAACCCAACCCAACCCAATCTTTGCGGGTTGAGTCGGGTTGGGTTGAGTTGGCGGGTTAGTAGTTACATAATTTGACGAATGAAATAATTCATGAAACTTAAGTTTATGGACCATACTATAAAACGTCTTATCTAAAAAGATTACAATAGGTTTATAAGACGTTTTTGGACGTTTCAACAAGTGTTTTAGAATGATCTTTACATAAAATGTCGTATTAGTTATTTTATAGAAACGTGTTGAAAAGTGTCCCGTAAACTCATCTATTTATAGGACACCTATGTTCATATGACACTTTTTCAAGTCGTGTTGTATAAAATAACTAATATGACACTTTATTTTAAAAGCATCATAGAATTTGTTAAGACGTCCAAAATCATCTTATAAACATATTGTAATTCTTTTAGATAAAACATTTTTCTAACATAACTCTTTAAAAGCGTCATAGATTGATGGATTCGTCCATCAAATATCTATCAATATCTTTCGTATTCTCCAACATATCAATTTGTTGTTGTTACAAAAAAAATCAATAATTTTCCTTATTAATTAGATTATTTGTCATCATTCTTTGATCGTGAATCTCTTTTGATAAACTATATGTTTATCCAAAATGAAACAAATTATAATATCAATAAAAATTATATAAAATTTATACATTAACAATATATATACATAATAAATTAATAAATAAATAAATATATATATAAATATAATTTTATAAAAATTATATATTAGTGGCGGGTTGGGCGGGTTGGGCGGGTTGAGCAACCCTCCTAATTGACGGGTTAGCGATTTGGCAAGTTGAGTTTAATTGGGTTGTTAGCGGGTTGGGTTGGACGGGTTTCGTGGGTTAGCGGTTTTTTGTACACCCCTAGTCAAAATACAATTACTCGATATAGTTTTATATTACTCAATATCTTTTGGTACATGTAACTTTAAGTTTTTTTTTTGGATTAAACTGATTTTTTTTTGTTTTATGTTGTTAATTCTTATATGATGCTGTGGTTTTTTTTATGTATTAAATTAAATTTATTTTGGTTTTAGATTTATTGAAAATGTTTGAGATTTAAACATGTATGGTATCTCACATTTTTAATTTAAAATAACTTACATAAACAAAAAAAAAAATCCTCGTTCCCCGTTGGGGATGAGGATATGATTATATTCCCCGACAAGAAACAGGTCGGGGATAAAGATAAGTAATCGGGGACGCAGATTGAGATCCCCGCCCAATTCCCATGCCTAATTGCCTACTTCTAATAAATAAATATGCACATCATTCTTCCATTTCCATCATCTTCTCACCAATGTGGGATAACCAAAGACACCACAACCTTTTTAATGAATACTCAAATCTCATTATGCCACTTCGTTATCACTTGGTTGTTCATTTAATAGGTATCACCTTCATTTCCATCTTCTTTGTTGATAAAAGTAGAATCTCTCTCTCTTCTGCTATCCTTTTTTTTGCAGTATTTGGCGATGTGGCCAAATTTTTGGTAATGATAACATTGTACAGAAGGTGATCCTTTCCCTTTGCCTCTGCCTTTGAGTTCACCTTGTTCTCTCATAGATGCCTTATTTCTGTCTGTCATAGAATTTAAAGATTGTAGTTGAAATGCCTGTTCAAAAGGATTTGAATTGAATTGTCTCATCCTAAGTTCATGACACTATAGAGTTCCAAGCAGGCTTTCTAACGGGAGGGTTGAGAGATCTTTGGATTCTTTGATTGCAACCATAATATATTTGAATTTTCTGGTTAAACTTCTGAGAATTTTCTCAACGACTCTTTTATCATCCAAACATTCTCCATTTAATCTCAATTGATTAAGCAACAAAATTACCCGACTGTAAAATTCTTCTATAGTCTCTGGATCCTTCATTCTTAAACTGTCGAACTAGCATCTTAAAGTTTGCAGTTTCACCACTTTCACTTTGTCTTCCCCTCTATAGCTTCTGTAAAGCATATCCCATCCCATGTAACCACAAGGGTGATGTCTGATTGGTTTGAGTTTGGCTCCAAAGATCAAAAGTACCAGGAGGTCTCAGGTTCAAATCCAAGAAGGAATAAAAATCCCCTTGTGGCATGGAGGTTCAAATCTCCTAATTCTTCTTCTTGATCTTGAGTTAATTCATCAAAATCTTCTGGTTCATCAAAACCTTGATCGACTATGTCCCATAGATCTTGTGACTCAGAGAACCTTCATCTGTATGCTCCAATAATGATAGTTTTTCCCATTTAATTTGGGAAGTTAAAAATGCAAAGGATTACCTGAAGTCAAGGCCATTGATGCATTGGCTCTGATACCGCAATGTTGGGTACAGACAGTATATAACCAAATATATTCCCTTTATTGATTAATGATCATACATCTTTTTAATAAATGAGTTACAGAGACATACATATATACATACATACAAAAAGGGACACAACCCTTCAACAACCAATGTGACTATTCTAAAAGACATACCCATACGATGCAACTATTTTGTGTAAGATAGTTACATAACTGCTATTGTATATAATTGAGAGAAACTAACACGGTACTAGCTTATAATTTAACAAAGACAAGGACCGAAAGTCTTTCCCGACAAATGCCGGTGACGAATCTTACTATGGTTAACATTTACCAGATAAATTATTGCATTATGCTACTAAAATCTTAGAGGGTGTTTGGGATTGCTTATTTGAGACAACTTATGCTTTTCTACAAAAGTTCTTTATCAACTTATTATATGTTAGAATGATTTAACTTTTTAAAAAACATCTTATTACCGGTTTTACACGACATAAGCCGTTTATCCAAACACTTAAAAGTGTTTATTATTAATGTTACACTAAAATAAATCAATAAGTTGTTTTTACAAGTAATTCCAAAACACCCCTTAAAATATTGAATTGTAGTGATAGTGGATTATGAGGAGTGAAAGCAATCTTGGTCAAATTGGCGGTTTCTTCTCCGTGTCGTATATATGTGACCCGATTGAAAAATCAAATCAAATCAAACCCAGTGTTCTTCCATTTCTCCCCATTCTCTCTCCTCCATTTCCTCTTTATTCTCTCTCTACGTTTCACAGATTCAGATCTGATCGCCGAGAGGAGTCTGAGATCAGCTCAATAATGGCGGTGGTGTCACCTCTTGCCAAATACAAACTGGTATTTTTGGGTGATCAATCCGTCGGGAAAACCAGTATCATTACAAGATTCATGTATGACAAATTCGATACAACCTATCAGGTATAATTCGCCGGCTTTTCTTTGTTTTTTGTGTTGATTCGTTCATGATCTGTATGCAATTGACGACGGATCATTGGATCGGGGTGTTTGTGTATGTAATTGAATGATGTAGAATTCTGAAACCATGTCAATCTTATCAAGGTCTTGCATGAATTCGTTATTATTTCTTGTCCATGTGGTTGCTGTAAAGGAATTTTACGTTTGAACCTTCAAATAAGCTCATCACGTAAGACTGAAAGAGCATTGATGTTTGGGATCAGCTCTCCATGTAGCAAGCGAAAAGGATACGGAGTTTTTGTTCCACAGTCTTTTAGCTTGAGCTTTTTTGTACTACATCCATAGCTTGTCCCGTGAAATTGCGTCATCTTTCACTTTGGGATGTCTCATGTTAATTTGAAAGTTTCGTTTTGCTTGGTAAGATGTCTTGTCTTCATCACAGAATCTGTTGTGATATTGATTTTAATCTTCTAAAGTAACTGTAGATGGAAACTCAAGGCCAGTACAAACATTTGTTCTTATTGTCTCTGTCTTTTGATGATACCGTATTTCAGGCCTTTTGACTAATATTGTTAACAATTTTGTTAATATGTGTACACCGTTGACTGGTGCAATTTTCATGGGTGGAAGAGTATGATTATCTCGAGAGATGAAGACCTAAAAGCATTCATATATTATTGCATCAATTTTGTATTGTCAAACACTCAAGGTTACCTTCAGTCCACCCACCATGTCCTTGACACATGAGAACCATGCATGATTATGCTCAGTCCCTTGACATCTGTTTGAATCCTTTTCACCATAGGCCAAGTCCAGAGACCTACATTCTCTTTGATATGTCCCCAACAGATTCCTTTAGTTCTATTGTTTTGCCAGATAATATGTATGTATGTTTATATGTGAGTGTACATTCTCCAGGAATTTGAGCCAGAACATTTGGTGGAATTGGCGAAATTTGTCCATGGAATATCTATTCTGGGTTGATAAATGATGTAAATAAAATCATTTGACAAACGTGTTAGAATTGATTCATAACAACTGATCCCTAGTTTGGCAAAATAATATATCAAAGCAATAAACTAAAAGCTCTGACATTGTTTTTGGATATGAACTGCAGGCTACCATTGGCATTGATTTCTTGTCAAAAACAATGTACCTTGAAGATAGAACAGTTCGGTTACAGCTTTGGTACGTTTTTATGTTTACTACTTGTTGCTTGTTCTTTTCAGTTGACCCAGTGATTAAGTAAAGTGTCTTGTAATACATTGCTATATATATTAATAAATTCTTTGCATAGCCTGTAAGCTACAAGCGTTTCACTATAAATATCTGAAAACACAGAATTGACTGTTTCATCAAATTTTTTGACAAGATTTTCATGTGTTTATCTTTTCTAAGAAGTCAACATATAGTATTGTTATAGTTACTTGGCATGTGATGAGTGTATTTGTTGGAGTGAAACCACCTTACTAATCTAGTAAAAGGATATAATGGTAAACCAAACAAAACCAAACGAGCCCAGTATATCCCATCGAGAGGTGGGCACTCGGAGGGTGGGATGTATGCTGACCTCGCCTCTACACCAAATAGTAGAGCAGTTGTTTCCATGAAGTGTGACAAAGAGAGAAAGTTGGATAAAATAAAGTGTTAACCACAAGTGAACGAGGCAATGTTGCATAGTTTCGACCCCATGCTCTCTCAATTGAAGGAGTTTGAGAATTTTCAGAATACCCAAAAACTATACCAGCTGGGTTGAATCTTTTGCTGCCACCAATTATCTCACCCCTATAACTCACCTGGAAATACACATGTAAGGAATTTGAACTCAGGACTCTTTAAGTTATTCTAAGCAGAGTCAGATATTGTTTTAGAAGGCTCTAGTGTTTGTGAAGTATATTTACTACCTGGGTGGTTGATAATTTACGTTTAATATGCTATGTTTCTTTTTTGGGGTAGAGGTCATACATCCCCGACCCCACCTCCAGGTGGGATATACTGAGCTTGTTTTGTTTGGTTTGATTTACTCTCCCTTTTTCTTGACAGTTTGTCTTGTAACATTTCAGGGATACTGCTGGGCAGGAGAGATTTAGGAGTCTCATTCCAAGCTATATAAGAGATTCATCAGTTGCAGTGATTGTCTATGATGTCGCTAGTGAGTAAAACCTCACTTAAGAAGTCAGGAATTATCTAATCAACATTTTTTGCAACATATATTTGCCCATTTTCTTATAAACACTGCACCGTTCTCTACATCTAAACCAGTGCAAGCCTTTTCTTCTTTGCACCATTTTTTTTAATTGGGCAAATTGCATGAAAAAGTAACGTACTTTAACTTGATTCTTAGTTCGGGTTACGTAATTTCAAAACTTCTATTTTGGTACCTAAGATGTAAAGTTTTAAACATTTAAGTACTCGGGTAACTGTTTGAAGCATTAACTAACCGGTTACCATACTGATGTGGCGAGTGATGGGATGAAATTGGGTTGAGTAGCAAATAATACTGAGTTGGATACCACATCACTCGCCACATCAGCATGGTAACCAATTAATGCTTCAACCGGTTACCCGGGTTCTTAAATGTTTAAAACTGTACATCTTAGGTATCAAAATGGAAATTATGAGGGTACATTACCCAAAATAGGAATCAAGTTAAAGTACGCTACTTTTTCATTCAAATTGCCCTTTTTCATTTAGAGACAACTTTCTTTTACTTTTTTTATTATTTGAGATATTCTTTTACTAGTTCATGGTGCATTTCAGAACATAGGAAGACTTCTTGTTCATGTGGGATGCTTTGCCTATATGAGCATCCTGAACTGGCTTAAGATAGTTTTTTGATGCATGCATCTTAATTTTTGTTACTTCCTCCATTCCAAAATAAGTTTCCACATTTTTATTTTAATTTGTCTCAAAATAAGTGTCTATTTTCCAATTCTACCATTAATTATTATATAGAGAAATTCATTACTCCCTGTATTATTTAAACTGAAATTGTCATTTAGTTAATTAACAAGTTAATAATTACACATTTCTAAAACTATGTACCTTTTTTATTGTAGAACTTTATTCTGGGACGGAGGGATATTATTGAGTTATCACACTTGGAACAATAATTTGAATGATTGTTTCGAGTGACTCAAACCCTCACAAAGGTGTAATAATAATGGTTGCTCCAATACTCAACCTTACTTGAAACAAGAATTTTGTTCACATGGGACACTTTTTGTTCGGTTTTAACCCATTTCCTATATTGGGTTTGTTATTTTGCAGATCGACAATCGTTCTTGAACACTGCAAAGTGGATAGAAGAAGTACGTACTGAGCGAGGCACTGATGTCATTATTGTTCTTGTTGGGAACAAAACCGATCTTGTTGACAAAAGGTGTAAGATTAACCATTTGAACAGCTAGCAATGTGGTTTTACTTCTTAGTATTTGTGTTATCATCATGTCTGAAATCCTCACTGTTTCTTTGTTTGACTGATAACACATTAGAACCATCTTTTAGGTTGAAATATGTTTTACCTTCCATTCATTTTTGGTCATTTAATACTTATATTTTTTGTGGGTATATCACGTGAGAAGCAATAATGATGTAATTATGAGTTCCATTAATTTACTTGTGGGACCCTTACTGTTTGTCGGCCTTAGTATCTCCTTTTTTTACTGTATGCAACCCTAGTTTTACTTGCTTTTACCGTTTGCCAGACAGTTCATCACCTTGTACCTGCTATTTTGTTGCACACTTGTATCCTGTTATTTTTGTTTTGCATTGAAACAACCTTTCTACCCCTTGGGATAGAGGTAAGGTCTACGCACAATGTGGAATATACTGGTTTGTTTTGGTTTTTATTTACTCGATGCTGAATTTTATGATTAAACAGGCAAGTTTCAATTGAAGAAGGAGATGGCAAAGCTCGTGAATTCGGAGTCATGTTTATAGAAACCAGTGCAAAAGCTGGATTCAACATCAAGGTTTGATTTATTACCTTCACTTTACATCCATCAAACTCAACACGACATCTTTATACACAAAAATAATGTGCATGTAATCTTACTCTTCCAAGAAAATGAAATAAACGACACGTTTGGTGTGGTACCACCGTACCAGGGTGGGTGCCATATATTTTCTCTTAAATAGAAGGTCAAAATGCATTGAAACAAAGTGTCTTTATTCTTATTATGTGTAATAGTGAATCAAAATTGTCAATTAATGTAACAAGTTTTCTAAGATTACGTGTTAAAGTTGGTTACATTAATCGATGATCATGTAAGTTGAGCAGTTAATTTAGATTCCCGGAAATAGGAATCTTTGAAACTTTGTTACATTGGCTGACGATTTTGATTCCCAGTTACAACATAGTGGAAACAAAAGCAAAGTTTATTACATTTTGGTGCAATTTTCCCCACACAAAACCATTATCTATGTTTTACTTCCCCTCCATTGCAGAAGTAACTATGGATTTGCCTTGATTTCAACCCTACTACTTCCCAAATCAAAGTATCATCAACCCTCTTTCTATTTTGATTTTTGCTCTTCTTTTCTATTTCTGTAACATTTGATCTTGTTTGTGCATTTCAAACCCGTTTTTAATAAGTTCGGGCTGGGCCAGGCTTTGGCTGTGAAAATGGGCTTTTTGGCCCTTGAGAAAAAAAAATACTTGGCATGATCAGGCTTTTTTGTGCATCTTTGGTCTAGTTTGATGTCGTTATCTATCGGTCCAATCGGATTGGTGAGAATTGACATGTTTGATCTCATAAATGTATTAGCCTCTGTTCCGAAAGATTGCTGCTGCGTTGCCGGGGATGGAGACTCTTTCGTCTACAAAACAAGAAGACATGGTTGATGTGAACTTGAAATCTTCAGGTAATACTTCACAGTCGGAGCAGCAAGGTGGAGGTTGTGCGTGTTAACGACACAGTTTGTAATGGGGTTAGTAACTTAAGTTTGTTCATAATTTATGATTTGTTAGTAACAAGATATGATGATGGTATCTTCAATATACCCCCCCCCCCCCTTCTCTTTCTTTATTTAGCTTATGATTCTATAGATCAAGACATTCATGGCTGACATAACACAAGTTTCTGCTACTTTTTGTTAATCTTATTAACAACTTGGTCATATGTGTTGTATTGTCTTCATTTATGGAAATAACCTCTCTACCCCTTAAGCAAACCTCACCTTCCTCGTATCTGTCTGAGTGGGTGTGTTTGGTATGCAAACGAAATTGGACAGAACATGACTGGACAAGCGAAGGTGACGTAGGCATGCAAAAGAATTGTGCAATGTTTTTAGGGTTTTAATTTGATATGAGTAGTTTGGTGATTTACCAATCTTATCTTATTCCCCGTAGTTGTTAAAAGCTCGCCTGAGACGTGCCTAAGCTCGGAGGCTCATAAGGCTTAAGGTCTTGGGCTTTTCCAAAGTTGAGGCATGAGGCTCATCAAGGCCCTGTGTGTGGCGCCTTGTGGGCCTGGACATGCCTCATAAAGAGTTATAAAATACTTAGGAGGCGTTTGGTTTATAGATTCGGAAGGAATCTAATGAAATTGGAATGTTGAATTCCATTGACCAAATTTCATTCCCTCGTTTGGTTCATTCTTTTTCACGAAAGGAATCTTCAAAATCTTACAAATTTCACAAATAAAGGAATTTAACATTCCTTAGCAACTACATGGTATTTTGGTGGAATGAAATTCTCTATTTTCATAATACAAAATATGTCCTTAACCTAATAAATCATAATCTCATAAAACCCAACATGATCATGTCGACCACCTTCGACCATTGTTGATATGAATCACCGTCATCTGAACCACCGCCGACCATCGCCATTTGAACCACTGCCGACCACCACGAATCGGAACCACCGCTGATCTGAACCACCGCCAACCACTACCTATCTGAACCACCAGCGAATGGATCCACCGTCGCTCTGAACCTCACCACCATCTGAACCACCATAGACCACCACCGATCTGAACCACCAAAGACCACCACCCATTTGAACCACCGTCGACTATCGCCATCTGAACCACCATCAATTTGAACCACCGCCAACTACCACCAATCTGAATCATCGTCGACCACCACCGATTTGAACCATCGCCGACCATCACCAATCTGATCCATCGCCGACCATCACCAATCTGATCCATCGCCAATTTGAATCACCCCCGATCTGAAACACCGCCAATCTAAACCACATCCAACCATCGCCACCTGAAGCACCACGGACCACCATTGATTTGAACCACTGCCGACCAACGCCGACTACCACCGATCTGAATCACCGCCGACCACCAACGATTTGAACAACCACTGATCTGATCCACTGTCGCCATCGTCGATCTGAACCACCATCCATCTGAACCATTGCAGACCACCATCGATCTGAACCACTGCGGACCACCACGGATCTGAACCACCGTCGACCATCGTTGATTTAGTAACGTTGTTTGGCTAATGATTATATTTGAGTTGTGTATTTTATATTGTTTTATATATTAAATATTTATTTTATTAAAGTATTTTTAGTTTTAGAAAAATTAAAAACTGACAACATTCTATTCCAATTTCTTCGAAGTCAAAATTCTTTAACAGATTTCCTTCCATCCAAAAACATTATGTGAACCAAACGCCACCTTAGTCAAACCCCAATATTAAATATGTTTTCTCATACCCTAAATTCTTAAAAATAGATTTATTAAATAGATGACATAGGTCAAACCGTAATATATCCAGACCTTAAAACTTCTCTCTCACAACTTACGCTTTAAAATCCTTCTGCCTTTTGCTTCTATCGAAGTATTGTTGGTTGTTGCACTGGAGCCTTCTACTTGTTGCATATTTGAGTTATGTAACTGTGTGTGTATATATACACGTTTGGATAAATATGCTCCACACATTCCTGAGGCTCGAGTCTCACGCTTGGGCCTCGCTCCTACGCCCCAAGACCCAAGTGCGCCTTGAGTCTTTAACAACTTTGCATCCTCCTAATTTTTGTTCTACCTATTTTGGTAGTCGGTTTAAATATCGCATCAAATATGGGACAACAAGTTTCATTCTGTATCATTTTGTTCCATTTACCAAGCTTTTGGAATTCATGGGGTTTGTTTAGTTTTTTGTTCATATTAGGCCACTGAGGTGATACTGGAATTTGTTTCCAAGGCCGTTTGATCATATCCTCATAGAGGTGAAGTCTGTATATATTTTACTGTAGAACTTTTCTTCTGTGTGGGACTTATATTTACCGAGGCCTTTTTGATGTGATTTGATTGAATCATTGACATAATGATGGCTCTGAAAGCTCGAATTCGGTCTTTCTTCGAAAATGTGTAACCCATATTGATCGTTATAACCGATCCTTAGGTCAGGTCCACTTAACTGGTTTGTCAATGTGACAGCTCTTTATTATCAGTTCTGAAACGTTATTTGAAAAAACCGTATCTTGATAATTGATCACTTGAGCATACTTTGTTAAGTCAATTCATATCGTTTGATGATTGCACTGATTGCATTTGGTTTTACTGTTTAGTCGTGATACAAGTTGCACGTTCGTTGGTAAACTACGATGCTTCGGGGGTTTTTTTCATTTGACTAGCCTTGTGCTTATTGAAATCGACATTGAATATCAACGCTGGAATGAATTACAAATCACTCCAAAAAAATGTTTATGTAAATTTTGATCATACCAGATCCAAAAAACCGTTTATGAGTTACCAAGGATATGCCAATGAGCAAGTTGTTTCATGAAAACAAACGTTCTGAATTTTGGACGTTTCAAAATGTAAAAAAAATTGAACATGGTCCGTAAGTACATGGACCAAATCTATAAATTAGATAAAGATCTGCAAGTGCACTCACGCCACTTCTGGAGGACTATTTATAGATTTGGTCCATGTATTTCCGGACCATGTTCAAAAACTACTTTTTTACGCTTTGACTCCTTAGCAAGTCAAGGAGTTGTTATTTGCGGAGGTGGTGACATTTTTTAAGTATTGGGATAAAAATGGTTAAGAGATGAAGGGAAAGTCTGAAAATGACTATTTTAATTAATTTCTTTGTCCAGATAAATTTGTATATATCTATTTTAGTTTATTCCAAAATAAGTGTCACATTTCCAATTTTACCCTTAACAATAAGATGGAGAAATTCATTATTCCTTGTATTATTTATATTGTGAACATTTAATTTGGGACCAAGAAATTATAATTAAAAGGCTCCATCAATTATTAACTTATTATCATGCAATTAAGGGACCATTTACCATACACTTACTAGACAAGTGCTTATCAAGTGTCACTTACCTTACTGGGTGAGCATAGCAAAGATCGAGGTCTTACCTGGTAAGGAGCATAGCAAGGACCGAAAATCTTAACCGGTAAGTAAGCGCTTATTGGGTAAGAGACGTTTACCAACAACCTATTTTTATACCCGAGAATGTTACCCGATAAGATAAGTGAAGGTGATACCTCTTGCCGCTAAGTGCTTACCAGGTAAGCGTTTGATAAAACGCCCCTTATTGCTTGCTTAACATCATAAAGAATCAAAACAGCAACTAGAGAAGATGATCAACTACTACATTTCAACAAAATGGATTCTCAAAGTTGTTATGTACATATAAACAAATGCAACTCCTAAAACAGGAAAGAATTGGTCTGCCAAAAACAATGAAGCACCCAAAATGAGCATAACTTCGTGCACTAAGCCTCTCCGGTCTCGTAAAAAGTCATCAAAGAAATCGTTTCCGGCCACAAAAAAGTGCACGCTAGTTTCAGTCTGAATGAATAGATGCATCGCCAATCTGTCTAACTCTCAATGTCAGATAAATCAATATTATTGTTCCCAAACTCGACCTGTAAAAGGAAACGAGAAAAGGCCCAATTTTAGTGGTTGTACGAATAAGATACACAACGGTCCATTACGTGGCTGGCTTAAGAATCGAGTATAACCACAAGGGTGGTGCCTGATTGGTTTGAGCTTGGCTCCAAAGGTCAAAAGTACCCGGAGGTCACAGGTTCAAATCCAAGGAGGAATAAAAATCCCCTTGTGGCCACGGAGGTTCAAATGCGGTGACTCCGGGCTATCTGCAAAGCAGGTGGTCGCGCTGGGATTAGTCGGCTCGCATAGCGGGTTGGATATCCAGGTTAATCAAAAAAGAAAAGAAAAAAAGAATCGAATATCCAGAGAGCCTAATCCCCAAAGGAACTGTAACTCCCACACTGTGGCTGCCAGCCTCATACACTCCTCATTTTGTGCAAGTGTACCACTCCAGTACCAGCTACGTAGATGGATCCACATGTACGAGTGTGAGGTCAACCGACAACAAAGTTTATCTTTAAACTTTTTACCGAGAAACAATGATTTTTTAATGAGCTGATTAAACTCTATTTGTTAAGTTGAAAACTAATGAAGATATGAGAACTTACAAGACTGAGAAGAGGAGAACAACTTTTCTTGAATTCATAGACGCGGCACGTTTATATTTCCTCGATCTGGGGGCATCAAGAACTTTCTCAGCTGCTGTTTTATCTGTCGAACAAAAGTGAAACCTTCATCAAGATAAGTTTGTTATGATTGATGATCAAATGCACAATTATAGTTGCATTTGCATTTTCATGGTTCAACAATTTTTTTTGATCAACCTGGATATCCAACCCGCTATGCGAGCCGACTAATCCCAGGGCGACCACCTGCTTTGCAGATAGCTTGGAGTCACCGCATTTGAACCTCCGTGGCCACAAGGGGATTTTTATTCCTCCTTAGATTTGAACCCGGGACCTCCTGGTACTTTTGACCTTTGGAGCCAAGCTCAAACCAATATCCAACCCGCTATGCGAGCCGACTAATCCCAGGGCGACCACCTGCTTTGCAGATAGCTTGGAGTCACCGCATTTGAACCTCCGTGGCCACAAGGGGATTTTTATTCCTCCTTAGATTTGAACCTGGGACCTCCTGGTACTTTTGACCTTTGGAGCCAAGTTCAAACCAATCAGGCACCACCCTTGTGGTTTGGTTCAACAATTTGTCATCTAAGGCTTGCTGCTAGGATTTTTATAATATGATTGATGTGACTGTCCCTCTTATAAGAAGAAAACCGTATTAACTGTTGGTTTCTTAGAAACGCTGGATCTATAAAGTCGTACACCAGTTGTATACTTGATTAAATTCTTACACAATTGGCACCTTTCATGAACCATTTCACGAGTAATTGTTCTTAAACTTAAAGCAGCCCTGTAGCTTTATCTGAATCAGTGGCTAGCTAGACTGAAGCCTAACTCAAGCTTGGATTCTACGTTTACGAGACGAATAAGCAATGGGTAAAGCACTAGTATAGGGGGTTTTAGGAAAATAACCTTCCGACAGACTAGACCTTCTGACAGATTTAAGAACGCGTTACCTAACAGGATCATTTAGGGATATGACCTTAACTGAGTTTTCAATTAAAGAAAAAATGGTTTTATACTCATGAGAAGGTCATAGATTTAATTGACATTCAAGGTTATATTCCTAAATATCCCCTTCCTTGCACACAAAAATGACTCAAAATCAACCACAAGGGTGGTGCCTGATTGGTTTGAGCTTGGCTCCAAAGGTCAAAAGTACCAGGAGGTCCCAGGTTCAAATCCAAGGAGAAATAAAAATCCCCTTGTGGCCACGGAGGTTCAAATGCGGTGACTCCGGGCTATCTGCAAAGCAGGTGGTCACCCTGGGATTAGTCGGCTCGCATAGCGGGTTGGATATCCAGGTTAATAAAAAAAAATGACTCAAGATCTTGTAATTTTTTTTTTATCTAAAGGCTATTCTCCTAAATAACCCAGAATTTAGGTGGTGTCGGGTCATTTGTCACTCTAAATTGTGTTTAGATGTATTTTTAGTAGCATATTTTCTCTGTTTCCATCAAACGAAGATATTAGTTCAAAAGAACATTAAAGAAGAACGATTAAAGAGTGAATATGGTGCACCAAGGCTCCTTGGCTTTGCGATAGTTGGGAAGGGAGCTTTATACATAACATCTCCATTGCATTTTGCTTTTTCCATGACTCCCTCTCTTTCCTTTCGCAAAAAGAATCATCGCCCATGCATACAAGTTATGATCCTATTTAGGTTCTGTTAGATGTATGTTGAAAGTTTGAGGTAAGGAAACAGTCCCATTGAAAATGCAATGAAAAGGCTTTCCACCCGTTATACAATAGAATTGTGATTATGTCAACGTTTTTTTGGACCAAATTAGGGGCAAAGGTATAGATGAACTATCTGCTAACAAGAAATGGATTAGGGCAAATTGCATGAAAATGCACTACTTTGGTCCAATTCCTATTTTGTGTAACGTACTTCCAAAACCCTCATTTTGGTAGCTCAAAAATGTGACATCTCAAACATTTAGGTACATCATTTACATATGAAAATGCAACGTACTTTGGTCCGATTCCTATTTTGTGCAACGTACTTTGATATAAATGTTTAAGATATCACCAAAATGTAGGTTTTGAAAGTACGTTACACAAAAACATTTTCATACAATTTGCCCAATGGATTAAAGAGTTTATGAACAAGAAGAAGGTTAAATACCTCGAGTAGAGAACTTGGATAGCATCAGGCTGTGGTTCATCAACAGCTGCATGTATTTACCTCCCATATCGAAGCTGATCTGTTTCTGTAGTGATTTCTGCAAAATGCCATGACTTGTTATACTGGAAACGACAATGAAAGAAGATGAAATTATACATTGCTTGCTATGCATTCTTATGCTGAAGTTCTTGTTTAAACTTTATATTTTAGCTTTGTAGTAAAACATACCATGATTACTTCTTGATATTATCATTTTTCATAAAGAAGCTTCTCCAAACGTCTAAATTAATCATTTTAGACAACCAAACGAACTCAGTATTTCCTACCCAGAGGTGGGGTTGGAGGGAGATGTACGCACACCTAACCTCTACCCGAAAAGAATAGAGCGGTTGTTTCAGTCGGCTAGTGAAATGTGCATGAAAGGGGGAAATACAGATATGCTAAAATTTGAAAAAAACTAGATATGAGTAAAAAATAGTAATATAAAAAAATAGAAAGAGAGAGACCAATATGCTAAATTTTGAGAAACTAGATATGAGTAAGAAACAACAATATAAATAGCAGCAAGGATTTCATTCAACTGTTCTATGATTTGGATGTTTCATTTGCACTTTCACGATTGGGCATAGGAATAGGATGCATAGTGATACTAGTCGACACATAAAGAAACTTAATCAAACTCACCGTCAATACTCCATCATTCTTCAAATTACCAGGTGTTTCCTCTTTGCTTCGAGTCTCTGACTTTCCTTTTTCGATGTCAACATCTATAGTGCATGTCGAATATGCAATTGCGTTTTCCACCATCATGTTGATGTAGCTTTGGTTGCTCAGACGGGCGTCCAACGATAGCTGGCTTTTGAGTGGATTGCGAACCTCCGCAGGAGTTGAGAGAGTTGTTGGCAGTTCAAATTCGAGTCCAGGGTTGCCTTCATCCGACAATACTACAACACTATAAGCATCACATCCCTGCATACATAAAACATAACAATCTCCTCCAATTATAATAATATCAACATTTTGTTTCAGACTAACGTCTATTTATGTCTACATCTATGGGGTTATTTAGGTGAATAATGAGCCTCCATTTTGGGGGAGATAAAGTGGGAGAACAAGTATTTTGTCGATGCCTGATAGATCACTTTCAAACTGAATGTTAATATGTGTGTGAATCATTATCTGGTAACTTTATCGCACGAAACATTAAAACCAAAACCAACCCAATGGTTCCCACTTGAAAGTAGGGTCTGGGGACGGGATGTACGGCAAAGAGTAGAGAAGTTGTTTCCGTGAAGCCCGGGGTTCGTGCAAAGGTGTGAGCGAAAAGGAAAAAATAACTAAAAGTAGTAACTTGTAAGCAATAGAAACAGAAGAAAATAAAACATAGAGAATGCAAGATCTGTATATAAAGTCGAATAAATAAACAGAAGCAGCATATTGCACAAATTTTTAATCATGTATTTTTTAAGTTTTAACAACAAAACTTTTCCATTAAATTAAGAGTACTGAACGAAAATGATAGCCATAAGACAGTACAGAATCATTAAATGGTCTTGAAACAGAAGAATGGGAACTAATAATAACTACATGTACTGAATCATTAACACTTCTTTTCCCATAGAGTAATACAAAACCTCTTTTAAGGCCAATAAAGTTCATCCATATGCATGTTACATTTAAGTTGATATACAGAGAAAGATAGCGACGGATGGAAAAGAATTCTCACGCTACAAAAGGGAAGTAACTGTCGATATATATTAACTTAATAGAACGGACAAAATCATAGTCAGAGAAAAGTTTGGTAAAGCAATCTAATGAAATGTACGAAAGAGCAAACACGACTACACAAGAATGGAACAAAAACTCCAAGATCAAAACTGTGATTCTATACAGCATTTATCGATTCACGTAGAGCACCTCCAATGGGAGCTTCTTATAAGCAAAAAGTGTAGCTTCTTATATGACACTCACATCCTTGGAGTTCTTGTATGAGAACTTCGGTTCTTATCTTAGAACTTTGTGTGCAATGACATTTTAATAGTTTCTTATATATTCTTTTAACATTTTAATAGTTCTTTATATAATTACGAATGTTGAAAAAATAAATGGGGCCCATAAAAGGAGTTCTTATAAGAACTACAATTGTGGAGTTTTAGGTAGGTTTTTTAATTTGGTAAAATGGAAATGATGTGGGCCATTAAATTCCGCTCTTTCCACGAAACCACAACCATCTCCATTTTCTAGATGGTTCATAAAAATAGCAACATTATGTGCAAATCTTCAAGATAAAGTTCTCTAGTTGTCCATCACTATCATTTCAAGCTATCATCTCAATCTAGAAAGGTATTTTAGACAAATGGTGGTACACTTGTATTAAACTACATGCAGAGTCGACCATGGATATCATTTATACGTGAGTAATAACATTCTCTGAACAAAAGCTTGAGCAATCAACTTTTTGAACCGTTATACTTAGCTTTCATTGCAAATGAACCATTATTCTTGCCAAAATAGAAAAAAACAAATACTCCACTTTTCAAAGAATTTGTGTAACCCCTATAAATCTCTTTCTAAAAGAGCACTTGTAGAAAGAGGTGGAAGTTCAAGTTCCTACATATATATAAGTTTGATGGTCCGTGTCTAGCCGATCTAGGACTCCAACACGCTCCATCAAACAGAGGCTAACGTTGCCTACAAGAACAAAGGGCGAAAGAATGCGTCGAATCCCTAGGTAGTGCTAGACTGCAACTAGGTTTGATGGTCCGATGTGGGACTCCAACAGCAAGAATGAGCAAATTCCAACCAAAATGCAGTATGTTAGATGGGCTTTTTTTTCCTTTGCATTTATATATTTCTCTAACTCATCCAACAACAGCTTGAGCATCCTTGCAACAAGAAACTCTACTCTTTGATTATGAATCAATCAACACATGTAAGCTTTTGTTTAGAAATCAAAAAAAGGATCTTCTTCTGATAAATGACAGCTGACACCAATTTGGAGCCAGCCATGGTCTCCTGTCACGATCCCAGTTACCAGAAGCTAATTTCAACAAGATCAAACAAGATATTGAAGGCCAATGACGGCCCTAAAATCCATTGAAGTTACCTTCAGTTCAAAAACCCTAGGAAATCACATCGTCCACCAAAATCTCATCGATGATGATTAAGATCGATAGCATTTACTAAATCTGAACTCAAGTAAGTGTCATCAAAATAAAATCGAATAGAATGAAGTGGAATTGATCCCCAATTGACACATTTTCCGACATGTGCCGAGCTTTGGCGGAAAACTCGAGATTGAGCTAATTAACAAAGAAAGCTTGCATTAAACGAAATCGAAGTCAATCCAAGCACATGTAAATGGAAAAAGAACACACGAATCTGGGTTGATTTAATTAAAGAGCAGGAAGAGAAATGAGATTTAAAGCAAAATGCAGGAGATAGGGAAGTGAAAACAGACCTCTTCAGTAGAGCTGACCGCCATTGAATTGCAGAGGTTGAACAGAGCTAGAAATGAGGAAGCAGGAGATGGGAATGGGAGATTTGAAGGTGGTGGTGATGATGGGATTTGAGCATTTCGAAGGAGAGAGTTGAGGGATTGAATGGAATGGAATGGAATGGAATGAAGAGAGAGAAGGGTTTGATTTAATTAATACTCGTCTAATAACTGGCAATGCACCTGTCTGAAAACTCCATTGATGAAGACGACAAACATCTCTCTTTCTTTTTAACCTGACAAAAGGCAACAAAAACTAAAACAACCATCAAAAAACAAGCTCTCGTGAACATTTCCACTTTTTCTTCATTCCTTTCATCTTTTCAACATGGTGGGTCAAATAGGGAATTCTCAAAACACAATTTATTGACTTATTTCGGTATAACATCAGTAATAATATTTTTGAGTGTTTGGATAAACAACTTATATCGATGTCAAACCGGTAACAAGGGGTTTTTGAAGAAGTTAAACCATTCTACCTTGTAATAAGTTGATAAAGACTTTTATAAAAAAAACATAAGTTGTTTCAAATAAGCAATTCTAAAACACCCCCCTTAGATACATGTTACAATTCATAGGTGGGTTTAAGATTACTAGAAAGGTACTCACACAATGCAGCGAGATACATATCGATGTTAATGTTTTATTTTATTCTTATCTATATCGATGTCAGACTACGATTTTATGTGGGTTTTACAAAACGATAATGTTTTTGTTTTTGAATAAAATATAAATTTGAAAAATAACATAATATAATTTTTTAAGTTTAATAACGAAGCAAATTATTTTTGGTATAATAATATAATTTTTTATAAAAATAATAACTAAATCTTCTGTTAGAACTCAATGATTAACCTAATTATATTTTAGATTTTTTATAATTAAAATGATATGTTTATCATGCATTTAATTATGTTTATCTACAGGTAGTTACATGAATTCAAACATAAAGCTTTAATAAGTTGTAGTTACACACAATCTACTTGTAATCTTGAATTTTAAGTAATATGCATCAATAAACAGTATTTTGTGCATAAAAAATGGTTTCTAATAGTTTTTGTCAAATGCTTTATAAGAAGTATAGATAAATAATCAAGAATTTAGATAAAAAAAAAAAGTAAATAACAACACCCATTTATCCATACAAGACTTGATAAAAATTTAGTAAACAGTCCTATGTGTTGTTTGTGTGATATATTTGCTCATACAAAGGTGTGCATCAAAGTCGAGATGAATGTGTACTAAAAGTATGGTGATCTGGTGGTCATTAAGAGGGGTATATTGCCTTTAGTATGGTTTTATCTGTAGGAACATATACAGAGAGATAATATATGCAGATGATTGAAGTGTCTGCCAAAATGCATTTATAATATGTTATTTAAGCTCTAAGTGTCTGCCAAAATGCATTTTATTCTTGACCTTCAGATAAGATAATCAATGTGTCGTCGTGTGCATACATTACTCCTTTAAAGTCTTCATCAAAGAAATTCAAGGTGTGATGAACCTTGATTTGTCACTAAGGATGATCTCAATACGAAACACCCATGTGTTCTTTCAATAACCCTCGGGGATTGGTTCTCACGAAGGCTGTTGAACGTCACCAAGAAATTCAAGTATCTTAAACAGATCTTTACATTGTTACAGTCAAGGATTTGGTCGGTTTTCTAGCGGTTCATACACTTACCTCTAAAAAGGGCAGTCTATAAGACCAGCACTCGACATTCAAGCGTGCAATCAACAAACAACATAAAATTGGGAAAGTTGTCATGTGTGTGTGTAATTGCATGAATGAAGATGTACAACATGGGTCCCTAGATGGCATGATTGAGGGCCTTTAAAGTTAAATGGGCGTAGGACACTCTTCAATGAGGATGGTACATGCCAATAAATCAGTATTAATCTCTTTCTTCTCTCACTGTTTCATGATACAGTCGGTGCCTTCCTATATAAGCTGGCTAAGGTCTTCAAATGTGAGCACCGGAAGGCGGGTTTACAAAATAGGGTTTTTATCGTCAAACGAGACGTTAGCTGGTCCATCTTTAAGTACGTCAATCTCTCTAAATCACATGCCAACCCTACATAGCACATATATATATATATAGAGAGAGAGAGAGAGAGAGAGAGACACGAACCATTTAACTATTAGATTGTTTATTCGACGTTAATATGATTGATGAATGATGAAACGTAGTCGTGTATCCAATAAACAGATATTTTTTGAATTAAAAACTTGGTATAAAAGAAAAGGACAAATGAAGGAAGATTCATAATTTTGTGAGTATTAGATGAATCTGGTGTTGTGGGACTCCAAACTGAAAACTAATTCCATCTCTTGGTTGCATGTGAAGTGTGAATCAAACACAAGATCCTTTCAACACATACAAACAACTCCATCAAATCTACTCACGGGTGTGCACCCCCCCCTCTCTCTCTCTCTCTCTCTATATATATATATATAGGGTCGGTAGGCATGGGAATTGGTCTCGACCCGTCGGGGAACCTGGTCCACCCGCTCCGGTCGGGGACGGGGATTCCTCGTTAAACCGGGTCTCAGGGACGGGGATCCCTGTTTGGCTCAAACCGGGGGATGGGGACGGGGACGGGTATCACACTCCTTGTCCCGCCATGTACCCGTATATATATAATAATTAATAAATTAGATTATATATTATTTATTTCTATCAAATCAGTAAATGGTAATTTTTAATTCAATATATTTTGGATATTATTATATGTGGTTTTGGATATTATTCAATATGTTTTCGTACATGTGACGTTAATTTTTTTATATTAAATTTAATTTTGTTTTTGTTTTTGATTTATTAGTTATTATATGATGACGTATATTTGTTGTATTAAATTAAATTCCTTTTGATTTTAGGTTTATTGGGAAAATGTGAGATTTAAACATGTGTAGCGTCTCACACATTTGATTTAATTTTTTTTTACACAAACAGGAAAAAAAATCTCCGTTTCCCCGTTGGGGACGGAGATGGGGATGTGATTAAATTCCCCGGTGGGGATGGGGACGGAGACGGGGACAAAGATCGGGGATCGGGGACGGGGATGGGGATGTGATTAAATTTCCCGGTGGGGATAGAGACGGAGACGGGGACAAAGATCGGGGATCGGGAATGGGGATTGGGGGGTTCACTTGAGAACCTACTGTTTTCGTGAGACTCGTGAGACCACATTTTTAAACTTGAAACTTCATAACAAAACACTGTGAAAGTATATATATATATATATATATATATATATATATAGAGAGAGAGAGAGAGAGATTCAAGGGAAAATCGTAAACAATGGAAAACCGAAAAACCATGAAAAAATGGTTGAAAAAAGTATGTCAAATTAACGAGAAAAATACGATCGTTTTTTTGTATAATTTATTTCGTTCGAATTTTGTTTATTTTCGTTTTCTTTTCGAATAAAAAAATAGGGGGTGGGAGTTTTTAATTTAAAAATATTGTTGTAACCGCTCATTTAGTCATATCCATCAGATGAAATAATCTCGGTGCATCTCATCCTAATGTGCATCTTAGGGTGGAGATCTCTTTTTACACTTCTCACAAGAACTATATATATATATATATATATATATATATATATATATATATATAGGGTTGGGTTCACGTGAGACCAGCCTGTTTTCGTGAGAC